GTTCTTGCGAAGGGTCCAATCCATTGTCAACGCTCATTGCCGTGAAGTAGCTTACTGCTTCCTTGACGAGCCCCAGATAGCTACACGCCGTCAAAACGATGGCAAACGCTGCCTTGTCGGGGTCAAAGCCGTGGAGAAACATCGCCCAAAAGAGCTGGATCGCAGAATACGCATGGCCGGTCTGGGCATATGCTGCTAGCATCGTGTTCCAGGAGACAAAATTCCAAGTTGGTATTCTATCAAACGTCTTCTTTGCCTCACAAATATTTGCATCTAAAGCGTATACCACGAGAATTGTGTTCCATGAATAGGAATCCCAGCAGCAACACAAAGAAAACGCTCGTATAGCGTCTTTGAAACGACCTCTCTGGGCATAAACAGCGATTATCGAGTTCCATGAAACAAGATCTCTGTGTGGCATTGCTTCAAACAATTGTTTTCCTTGATCAGCGTCACCTTTTTGCGCGTATGACTTGATCATAATCATGCTGTGCAGAGGCATCCTATCAAACAAACTCTTGGCTTGAATCAAATCCCCATTTTGGGCATAGCAGCAGTGCATCGCCCCCCAGAGGATCGCGTTTTGGTGGACAATCTCCTGGAAGACATCCTCCGTCTCCTCCACGAATCCATTCTCCGTCTCCTCCACGAATCCATTCTCCGCAAACATGACGAGCATCACCGCGCGAGTTATGCTGTTATTCTCGGGCATCGCCCACTCGCCTGCGCTGCGCGAAACCCTGCACGAGGATCGTCCACGCTACCACATTCGTCTCGGGCATCCGATCCAGCACCTCTCTCGCTCGCCCAATCTCTCCGCCGCGAGCAAATCCCCGCAGCAGCGTCGCCCACGTCTTGCAGTTCCTCTCGGGCATCGCATCCGCCCGCAATCGCCCAGCGCCTTGACCATCACAGTGGAGGAAACTACGTCCCACACCGCCATTTGATCGAACGCTGTCTTGGCCTCGCCCAGATGCCCACTCTCGGCATACGCGCTCGCGAGCGCCGTCCACGATGCGATGTTCTTGGCCGGCACTGCATCAAAGATCCTTCTCGATTCCTCCAAATGCCCACACCACGCGTAGACAACCAGCGTTTCCATACATAATATCTATACTGATGACTTATGATTAGTAACCACAAGTCATAAAGGTCAAGTACATAATGAAACTTCAAACAATTAAACACTGAATAGAGGAAATTGCTAAGCCAAAGTCCACCAAGATCATCACATTTATACTATTTACTGACTCCAGCAAAAACAAACATAAACTACTCATCCTCCATTAATTCTATATTGCATGTTATGAAAGAGAGTGGAGGAGAGAGAATAGGAGGACTTTTGTTATTTGTTGGTGATAGAGAAGAAGCACAAGAAATAGAACTCTTATTATCCATAAATGTCAAAAGAGCATAAGAATATTTTTTAGCATATTATTGACATTTCACATCATGAACAATAATTATGTTATAACATGGAACGAAAAGTCAACAATCTAGTCTTCCTAGACTAGATTATGCCTCCTCTTGAAGTTCCTCACCGCCTAACCACCCCCAAACTACTTCAAAAGCTCTTCTACACTACCCCTCCATTGTGAACCCTAAGGTAGGTTAAATTTTTTATACTAACATGCCTTCATAAACCTTTGAGCCTGACCGACATTGATTATGTCAAAGTTGGTGCCTAACAAATCTTCCCCCCAACAAAGTTTTTGTCCCAAGGACAAATTGTACCGGTGATCACCCTTTCTGGGGAACCCTACTCAAGCTCTTGATCCATCTTCCATAGCTGTATACATCAAAGAGGTATTGGGCCCATCACTCCAAGATAGTACACCTTTCAACTGGCTAACATAGCTGGCAGCCCCACTCAATAAGCCGCTTTACCAATGCACTCCAGCATTTTATATGGACTAGCATACTAATGAGAAAGTTTATCACTCTTCCCATTTCACAAAGGCATTAAGATGTTTTATTGCTCATTTGACAAAAAGATCATTCACACAAAGACAAGATCACCCATCTTATATTCCCGAAATTAGTGATGCTCATTAGCTCTCCGCTCTATCCTAAGTTGCTTGCAAGTTCTGTTTGCACACCACCAAAATCTCATCAAGTTTCGTGGTTAGATCAGTCGCCTCTAAATCAATTTTTTTTTAACATCCTTACTCAAATGCAATTCCAACTTCACCACTGTTTGAGGATGCCTTTTAAATATGGCAAAGTAAGGATTTAGCTTGGTTCCACTGTGTTGGTTATTATTATAGGCAAATTGCACCAACTAAATATATAAATCCCATTGTCCTTGCCTTTGAACAATGCTTATCCTCTACCACTTGATTCACATGCTTGGTTTGCTTATCTGTCTGAGGATGATCTCCACTCAAGAGTTTCAAAGTCATTTGCATAGCCTTTGCAAAGCTCTTCCAAAATCCACTAGTGAACTTTGAATCTCGAATATCTTCCGGCAAACTAAAATCAGGAAAAACCTTCTCCAAGTAGACTGTAGCCAAGTCTAAGCCAGTGACACTCTTCCGAAGAGCCAACAACTATACATACTTTGTCAAACAATCCACTATAACCCATACTTGCTCTTTTTGCCTTTATGTTCGTGGCAAACAAGTGATGAAGTCCATAAAGATACTACACCAATAACTCTGAGGAATAAGTAAAGGTTGCAAAAGTCCCCCCGGCTTCTCCCGTGGCACTTTACTGGCTGACAGAGCTCACATGACTTACAATACTCAAGGATATCAGCCTTCATATTCCTCCAATATAAATTGTGCTTAATCAACTCATATATCTTCTTCCCCCCAAAATGACTAGCCTTTGGACGATCATGATAGTGAAATAAAACCTAAGTAATTAATGCATCCACCCATGGCAAATACACATGACCATTGTAGTAAAGAATCCCATCCACCAATGAGAAAGGTGCTTCCATCTGGGCTTGCAATGAGACCACCTCAACATCTTGAGCTTGAGCACGCTCAACCAACTACCCAAACTTGCTAACCACCTTACTCAAATGATGACAAAACCGTGTTTGTAACACAATCACATGACAAACACGAGATAAAACATCCATTACCACATTTAATTTTCTCAGACGATGCTCAATAGGAAATTCCCCAAACTCCATGAGTTTGACCATCCAACGAACTTACCTAGTGTTTAACTCCTTTTGTGTGAAAAGATATACAAGGGGTTTGTGATTTATCAACACCGTGAACACTGCACCATAAAGATAGTGCCGCCACGTCCGCAAAGCATGAACAATGGAGAGTAACTTTTACCTTTTACTTATATGTCAAATAACGTTGCTCCATGGGATTCAAAATTCGACTCTTATATGCAATAGGCTATCCTTCTTACATGAGAACTCTTCCTAGTGCATAACCACTCACATCACATGTCACTTCATAAGGTTTTGATGGATCAGCAATGCAAAGCACTGGAGCCTCGCTCAATAACCGTTTCAACGCCACAAAACTATCCTTATATGGCTTCTTCCACTCAAATGGCACATTTTTGTGCAACAATCGTATCAAAGGAATAGCCACCTCTGAAAACTTATGCTGAAAATATAGGTAGTAATTAGCCATACCAACGAAATTTCGTAACTCAGTCACTAAAGTCGGTGTAGGCTAGTTCTCCACCATAGCCACCTTCCTTGGATCTGTCTTGACATCATTGGATGTCATAATATGGCTTAGATATTCCACCTCTGACTTTGCAAACTCACATTTTCTCTTCTTCACATAAAATTTGTTGTCATAGAATAATAAAAGAACCTTGCACAAATGCACCTTATGCTCCTTTATATTCTTGTTGAAAACAAGAATATCATCCAAGAAAATCTCCACAAACTCATGAAGATAACACCCAAAGACCTTTGTCATCAACCGAGTAAATATGGCTGATGCATTCATTAAACCAAACAGCATAACCGTAAACTCAAAATGCCCGAAACTCGTGTTGAATGCCATCTTGGAGATAAATGCATCATCCATGGCAATTTGATGATATCCACTCCTCAGATCAATCCTAGTAAACACTTGTGCTTCACCAAGCTTGTCTAAGATATTATCCACATGCGGCATCGGCATTTTGTCCTTTACGGTCTTCTTATTCAAGGCATAGTAGTCAATACACATCCTCATTAAACCATCCTTCTTCTTCACAAGCAAAACTAGAGCACTAAACGGAGACTTACTTGGTTAAATAAGTCCAAACTTAAGTAACTCCTTGACTTGTTGTTGACTTCTTGCTCCTCAGCATAACTCAACTGAAATGGACGCTAG